AAAACTCTAATCAATAAATCGGGTGGATGATATAGGTACAGTCCAGCAATGACTAACTGGAATGGCGGAACAGGCTTGAAGGGGCTGGGTGAGTTCGTCCTATCACAATGTTGACTTGAACATGATAGTGTCCTGAAGATAAATAGAAGTCAAACTGGAAAGAGGTGTTGGAAGCAACAGGCTTTCAATGAGAGCATTGTGTTAATGCAGACTCTAAGAGTTGCTGGGCTCTGTGCTTTCTTCCTGTATTCACTCAAGCTGCCAGTTCTCACACTTCCTCCAGTGGAGAGAATGAGTAATTGGTGGGCAAGAGGCCAGAACAAAAACTAGGAAGGAACTGTGGCCTCAGGTGCCCTTCGACTAGGTTTTTGAATCACAGTCACTGTTGGGATGTAGGCAGAGGTAGCAGTCATTCTCTGCAGAAAAAGATCCCAGAAAAGACCACCAAGTTTATGAACAGTCAATCTGTACCAGGGCAAATTCTTTGTTCTCTTTAGGTAGCACCTTGGAATCCCACAGTGCCACCTGAACAGGCAACAGGACTCTGCCAAAAAAAAAGTTTCTTTAAAAACAGGCAGGCTCACTGACAGTTCAGGACAGCGCTCTGGTGTCTGCTGCCTGGATCTTAACTCACAACAAATCACTTTCACCAACAAACACAGCTTTCCTGTTTCCCCAGTGGATGCCAGTCATCAAATAGCACAATTTGAGACGCTCGCTAATGTTCCTATTCCATGGCGTCCATCCCCATCCCAAGAATTCATCCAGACCTACAAACAATCTAAAATCTCAACAGTTTGCCACTTGCAGTACCCACTTCATTCACACCATCATTGGCAGACTGGGCCTAAGGTGGTTCAAAATTGGGCATAGTCCGTACTGACTCACACCTGGGCACAGTTAATAGTGAGTCACCACCTGGGGATAGGCTATGGTGACTCTCATTTGGGCACTATCTTTAGTAACTCAATTGGGCACAGCCAATGCAGATTCACAACTGGGCACACTATATAGTGACACATAGTGGGACACAGACTATAGCAACTTACACCTGGGCCTCCTGTTCATTGACCCACACCTAAGCACAGCCTATAGTGACTTACACCTGGGCACAGTCTATTGATACACAGAGAGGGGTACAGCGTACAGTGACTCACACTTGGTATCTGTCAGTAGTAACTCACATCTGGGCAGAATCTTTCATGGCTCAGACCTGGACACAGCCTGATGTGAATCACACCTGGACATGGTCTATAGGGATACAACTGGCTACTGTTTATAGTAACTCAACTGGGTACAGCCAATAGCAATCCAAACCTGGGCACACCAACAGAGATTCACATCCTGGGCACAGTCTATAGTGATTCACCAGGACTCAGTCTGTATTCATTCTTACCTGGGCACTATCTGCAGTGATTAACACCAAGTCAAGGTCTTTGGTAAATCATACTCGGGCACAATCTAGTCATGCACACCTGGGCACAGGGTTTAGATACTCGCGCCTGGGCACTATCTGTAATGCCTCACTGTTGGGGACCATCTTATGTGACTCATATCTGGGCCCAGTGAACAGTGACACGTATTTGGGCACTGTCTATACCGACCTAACCTGGGCACAACCTACAGTGATTTACACCTGGGCTATGTTTACAGCCACTGACACCTAGGCACAGTCTGTACTGACATATACCTGAGCATGGTCTATAGTAGCACACGCATGGTCACAATGTAAAATCTCTCTGAGACCAGGAATGCTGAAGGATTTTGTTTTATTGCTGTGTTCGACAAATGTGTTCCTCTTGTCAGGTGACAACCACAGTGTACTAAGTCTGCAGCAAATACGTCTCATCTTTGGAAAAAATCTCTCTGAATGAGTACTATCCAAATAGACTGAAGTCATCAGCGCAATTTATAAAGAGACTGCAACATTGTCCCATGCAGCTGTCTGTTTGGACCCAGTCTCTGTCCTACCCAGTGGATATCTACTCCAGTTTAATCCAGTACTAGTCTTTCCAAAAGCTTCTGGGCTTCCCTGTTGCAGGAGCTGCCACCATTCCCTGTGTGGGACTCGCTGAACGCTGAAGGTAGATGTGAATGTCTAAGGGAGCACTGAACTGAATGAACCTCTGAAAGTGAGTTGTGACAGAGGACTTTAAATCAGTCTGACTCGAGCGAAATGTCACTGAACCTTATAGAGGATCTTGTCTGCAGCTGCTGAGATTAAGTGACAGGCATGACCTGGACGAGACCCTGAACTGCTGCTGGTTCATTATTTACTGCTCTCCCTGCCCTTGAGTTTCCCAATGGCAACCTGAGCATTGCACAGCTTAAGGGATTGAACCCTGGCACTATTTGCACAACAGTTTATATTTATGTGGCAACGTCCAAATGTAGTAAAGTGCACAGGGAGCACCATAGTGGACCAAATGTCTTGTTTTAGTTGGGGTTCTCCTGGTTTTTCATTAAACACCCTAATGCCTTGGCAATTTCCATATAATACTTCAAAAGTTTCCACAAAGATTATCAACATGTCCCAGTTTAGATGTTTGAAAATCTGTTCACTTGCTGAACCACATAGAGAGACTAAGATGGATGATCAAAAGCTTTGTCACAGATTTTAAGGAGGAAAGTGAGGTTGAGATGGCAAGGGAGGGAAATTTGAGCTTCAGGCAAAAGCAGATGAACACATGGTGTCCCGTGGCCAAAAGGTTTAAACTCAAGACTACCCAAGAGACCAGTTTGGGGAGAGCGCTGATATCCCAAAGAGTGTGGGGCTGTAGGAGAGATAGGCAGGGGCTGTAGGAGAGATAGGCAGGGGCTGTAGGAGAGATAGGGATGGGTGAGGCCATCAAAAGTATAAATGAAGGCAATGCTAAAACAGAAGCCAACATGAGCTTTGAGTTGCAGGGACTTGTAAGGATTGGGTGGGTGGGGGGCAGTGGATTAAAGGATGGATTAGATGGGAAGAATGTCAATTCCTCAAAGTGGTTAGGAAGGAGGAAGTGGCCTAACCAGCCTGGAGGCCTGGGACCTGAGGGAGTGGAAGGCTTGGGCCAACTTTTAAAAGCTGGCCCAGTTGATCAAGATCCCATTGTACTCTTAGATAACCGTCTTCACTGTCCGCTATGCACCAATTCTGGTGTTATCCACAAACTTACTAATCATGCCCCCAATATTCTCATCCAAATCATTTATAAATATTCATTTATATTACGTAAATGATAAATAACAGTGAATCCAGCACCAATCCTTGTGGCACACCACTGGTCACAGGGCTCCAGTCTGAAAAACAACCCTCCACCATCACCCTCTGTCTCCTACTGTCAAGCCACTTTTGTAACCATCCTCCTAGCTCTCCCTGGATCCCATGTGATCTAACGTTACTAAACAGTCGAGAATGCGTTATCTTGTCGAAGGCCTTGCTAAAGTCCATGTGGACAACATCTATCACTCTGCCTTCATCCATCTTCTTGATCACCTCTTCAAAAAACTCAATCAAGTTTGTGTGCTATGATTTCCCATGCACAAAGCCATGTTGATTATCCCTAATCCCTCCTTACCTTTCCAAATGCATGTAGATTCTATCTTGCAGGATCCCTTCCAACAACTTGCCCACCACTGATGTCAGTCTCACTGGTCTATAGTTCCCTGGCTTTTCCCTGCAGCCCTTCTTAAATAATTAGCCACATTAGCCACCCTCTAGACTTTCTGGCAGTTCACCCATGACTGTCGATGATACGAGTATCTCCACTAGGGACCCCACAATTTCTTCCCAGCTTCGCACAATGTCCTGGGATACACTTGATCAGTACCAGAGATTTGTGTATCTTTGTGTGCTCTAAGACCTGCAGCACCTTCTCTGTAATGTGGACTCATTTCAAGACATCACTATTTATTTCTCCGAGCTCCCTAGCTTCCATGTTTTTCTCCATGGTAAATACTGATGCAAAATATTCGTCGAGGATCTCACCCATCTCCTGCAGTTCCATACATAGAACTTAAATAGAGCTTTTATTACAGCCTTATCACTTAAAGATTGTTCACATTATGGAGAAACAATGTAACTGTCAATGTTTTGTTGATCTCAAGGAGCCCTATTATTCTGTAGTTACTCTTGCCTTTAATCTCTTTGGATTCTTCTTAATTTGATTTGTCAAAGCTATCTCATGTCCCCTTTTTGCCCTCTTGATTTCTCTCTTAAGTGTACTCCTACACCTGCTACACTCAAGGGATTCATTTGATCACAGCCGTCTATACCTTTTTCTTGACCAGAGCCTCAATATCTCTAGTCACCCAGTGTCCCTATTATATAATTCTATTGTATTATGATCTCTGCCCCTCACGATTACTTCACCTTAAGCTCCCTAATCAAGTCAACCTCATTATACATCACCAAATCCAGAACTGCCTGTTTCCTAATATCATTATATAATGTGCCGAGGTGTGAGTCATTATAGACTGTGCCCAGCTGTTCATTATTATAGACTTTGCCCAGATGTGAGTCACTGTAGACTGTGCCCAGGTGTGTGGCACTATAAACTGTACCTCTAATTTCACAAATCTTTTAAGCTAACAGTTGATGTTAGGTGGGAGGTGAGTTAGGCATAGAGAAACCAGTTGTTAACTTTTCCAAGAAGCTAAATCTACACTAAAGGAAATATCTACAATGGTAAAGAAAATTCCTGGGATTGCTGCTGGCTAGTAAACCTTTTGATGTATTTAAATGTCATGGCTACAGGGAGACACTGCTATGTACTGATTATACTCCACAACCTCTGTGAAAGTAATTGGAAAATCAAAATACCCAACTATTTAAATAGAGCTTGTTATTACAGCCTTTTCACTTAAAGATTGTTCACATTGTGGAGAAAACAAATGTAATTGTCGATGTTTTGTCAAGGATATAGTTTTGTTTGGATCTAGGTATCAAGAGGATATCAGAAATAACTGATAGTTTACAGGTAAAGGAACAAATGAAAGTGAGTATGTTTCAATACGTCTTAATGTTTTAAAATATATTTTATTCTTGTCCACACGATGTAATGCAATGTATTGGAAAATGGCATCTCACTTCTTTTCAACGTTGTTGGTGTTATGAAGATTCTTCATATTTCTTCATTTTTGTGGACTCGAAGGCTTGTGGAAACCTGGATTTTATTTTGAAAGGATCAATCAAATGAATAATTGTTTTAGGAGGTAGTTCTTGAATGTGATAACTTTGATTACTGCCTGGGTCAATGCTGCCAGGGTGCATTTTCAGAGACTGGATGCCCCAATTGATGTTCAGCTAGGGGGAAGGAAAAGAGATTCCCAGCCCAGTCTCCAGCTTCTGAAAAACTCCTCGTGTGTCTGGCGTGGGAGTGTGAGCCCTGGTCCAGTCTGGAACTGGATTGTTCTCCTGAAACTGTCCAGAAGAATTCTATGTATGAGAGTGTATGAGTCTGTGCGATTGAGTGTGCATGTGTGCATGTGAATGCTTGTTAAAGGGAATGTATGAGAGTGTGTGTGAGTGCGAGTGCCTGTGTATGAGAGTGTAAGAGTTTGGGTGGAGGCATGTGTGTGTGTGCCTGTTTATGAGAGTGTGTGTGTGTGCCTGTTTATGAGAGTGTGTGCGTGTGCCTGTTTATGAGTGTGCGTGTGTGTTTGAGAGTGCCTGTTAATGAGACTGTGTGTGTGAGTGTGTATGTACCTGTTTATGAGAGTGTGTGTGTGCCTATTTATGGGAGTGTGTGTGTGTGTGTGCCTGTTTATGGGAGTGTGTGTGTGTGCCTGTTTATGGGAGCGTGTGTGTGCCTATTTATGAGTGTGTGTGTGTGTGTTTGAGAGTGCCTGTTTATGAGTGTGTGTGTGTGTGCCTCTTTATGAGAGAGAGTATGTGTGTGTGCGTGTGTCTGTTTATGGGAGTGAGTGACTGTGTGTGTGTTTCTGTGTGAGTGTGTGTGTGTGTGCCTGTTTATGGAAGTGAGTGATTGTGTGTGTGCGTGTGTTTGTGTGAGAGAGAGAGAGAGAGTGCCTGTTTATGAGAATGTGTGAGTTTGGGTTTGTGTATAAATGAGTGTGTGTGGATTTATTTAAAAAATTCGCCTGCTGTATTCCATAGCTGCCTGAACCAAAGCCCTAATCACTATATAACCTGTGTGCAGTTTATATAAATGCAGCTGTTTCTGAAGTAGTTGTCCCTTGTTTTTAACCTGACCTTGGACATCTCCTGCAATGTAAATACCGGCTGCTATTGAGAGGATCACATTTCTGTGAAGCGGTTCCTACTTTGCCACATGGAGCAGGCTGACCTGATGTTGTAGTGGGGCCTCAATCCAGTTCACTTTGTTGACTGTAGGTGAGGCTAAAGGTCACTGTTTGGAAGGAACTGTGCTGGCTCGTTGAGGGGGGAGGGAAATTTTGGCACGTAATATTTCTATACTTTAGACAGTATTGTGTGTTTGGAGCCAGCATCTCAGAGTGATGGTCATTGTGGGTGCGTTGACTGCCTGAGAATGAAACTCTAGGTGGAGACGTACTGCTTGTAGTCGACTTCATTGTCCCTTTCTCCAGTCATCTTGGAGTTACCACCTCCAGTTGTTCAAATCCCTGGAGGGTTTGTCACATTAGCTCCCCCTTTCAGTCCAACAGCGTTTCCTTTTCGCTATCTCCAGTTCTCTTGGAGCCAGCAAATAGAATTATTGTAGGAAAATAGAAACCACAAACAATCGTGTTTCTCTTTGCAGATTCTGTCTAGTGTCAATTAGTGATCTATCTTAAAATTCCTGGAAACTCCAGGACAATCCTGAAAGGTTTGCAACCCCCTCCATGGGAATGGCCAGGATGATGTGGGACATTAACAGCAATGACAGGGGTATGTTTCCTCAGCGACCCTGGGGAGGCCAAATGTGACAAGCAGGATTTTACTGAAGTCTGTCAGCAAACCCTTGGATCAGGCACTGAATGGACGGCCTAGTTCATGGAGATTCCAGCAGCCGGATCCTGAGGGAACAGAACCTTCACATCGGAGAGAGGGAAATCCTGGAATTGGGAGGATAGAGAGAGGGATTGGGATTGGATGAAAATGTCAGCCAAGCTCCTTGGAGGTTAAGACTTCAAATCCAGAGCCTTAACCCTTACTTGGGCTAACACTGCAGTTTGGGACATGGGTTAGGGCTAAGAGAGGGGGGACGGATTCTTATTAAAGGTATTGTTCTTATGTTAGACTAAGAGGCTATCATGGCCAGAACCAATTCAACACCTCAAGCCTTTCCAATGCCATTTAACATGAACATGGATCTGTTCTTAACACTATCTGCCTGCCTTGGTTCCATAATCCTTGATGAACAAAAGTCCCTCTACATAACAACTCCCATGTGCCCATAAAGGATCAGGCTGTGTGAGAAATGTCTGCACCCAGAGGGTTGTTGTTCTTTGAAATTTTCTTCCCAAGTGACTTGGAATCCTCAGTCAGTGAGTATATTCAAAACTGAGATAGATGCATTTTGAATTCTAAGGATAAATAAGGAGAGAGGAAAGGAAAGTAGAGATATCAATGGTGAATATGTATTGGGGCAGCACGGTGGCTCAGTGGTTAGCACTGCTGCCTCACAGCACTAGGGACCCGGGTTCGATTCCACCCTCAGGCGCCTGTCTGTGTGGAGTTTGCACATTCTCCCCGTGTCTGTGTGGATTTCCTCCAGGTGCTCTGGTTTCCTCCCAAATTCTAAAGATGTGCAGGCTAGGTGGATTGGCCATGCTAAATTGTCCATAGTGTTCAGTGTAGATCAGGTGGATTATAGAGGATGGGTCTGGGTGGGATGCTCTGAGGGTCAGTGTGGACTTGTTGGGCCGAAGGGCCTGTTTCCACACTTTAGGGATTCTATGAATGAAATCCCATTTCTCCTTGGAGAGTGGTGTGGAGGTGTGCTGTGTGGCACATCACTGAGTGAAAATACCACAGGGTGGGTGGAGTTACAACACTCCAGAAGACTTGAAAGATCACATGGCCATGAACACATGGATAAAATAGGTTAGTCCTGACCTATTGTAACTTACAGGATCGGAACCTGCTATATCTATGATTAACATGAATCACAGTATTTAGCATTGATGCATAATAAATGATGTTACCTTGAAGCCTGAGCCTGAAATCAGTTCTTGACTTTACTTATTCCTCGACTGGTCTGTCTTAAACCCAAACTCACAGGGTGGCATCAAACAATGTGCTAAAAGATGGTGGCAGCTGCAGGATACACTGTCTTGAAAATGGTAGCAGCAGTGAAGATCAAGAAATAGACCTGAGGTAATCTAGGAAAGAGAAGAATTCAAGAAGTACTCTTCAATAAATCAGCAATACTGCTTTAAGACCAACTATCAGCCTGAAAAGCCACAGAACTGAACTGCTGCTGTAAAGGAAAAAAAACTCTGATTTAAAATTTCTGAGAAACCAGCAGAACATAATGAGTCTAAAAAGCCTCCTAAAGCTAGTAATAGGGGAAACAGGGCTTTTTGTTTAAAGAAAAACACAGCGAGAACAGTAAAGGCCCTCTAGCAGCTAAGACGATAAATCCAAATGAACTATCCAGGAAAAGACGCTGATTAACAGACACCCAAACCAAGTCTGATCCCCTAAGGGAAGGGACCAAAGTTTCAACTCTGCCTGAAAAATTAGGCTGAAGATGGCAGTTCAGAGTTCCAATAGGGGTTAACAAATTTCTGAACTATTTACTTGACTACAAAGTAAACAACAACATATTAAGATAATCCTACAGGCACAGGTTTAAAGAAAATTTATTGAGAAAGGAAAGAAAATCAGAATAAAAATTGTCATTATATTTGAAGTATCAGATTCCCAACAGTGAAGTTAGTGACATATCTGTCTTTGAGCAAGGAAACGAATGTACTGTAGCCAAATTTGCAGGCAACATAAAAATAAGTGGAAAGGCAGGTTGTGAGAGGGATGCAGTTTACAAAGAGTTATAGATAGGTTAAGTAAGTGGACATTAAGTTGGCAAATGGAGCATAATGTGTGAAAATATGAAGTGCATTTTAGAAGGGAGAACAGAAGAACAGAATATTATTTAAAAGGAGAAAAACTACAGAAAGCTGCAACACAAAGAGACTTGGGGGTTCTTGTACAAACCACAGAAAGCTAGTATACAGGTGCGGCAGGTAATCAGGAAGGCTCATGGAATGTTTGCCCTTACTTCAAGGTGCTTGATGTATAAGGGTAGGGAAGCCTTACTGCAACTGTACAAGATGATACTGAGACCACATCTGGAGTACTGTGAGCAGTTTTAGTCCCCTTATTTAAGGAAATATATTTCATTGGAGGCAGTTCAGAGGAGGTTCACTAGGATACTACCTGGTATGGAGGGATTGTCTTATGAGGAAAAGCTAAACAGGTTGAGATTCTACTCACTGGAGTTTAGAAGAATGAGAGATGATCTTATTGAAACATAAAGGATTCTTAAGAGTCCTGACAGATTAAATGCTGAAAAGATGCTTCCCTATATGAGAGAGTCTAGGACCAGAGGGCATAGTCTCAGAATAAAGGAACGCCAATTTAAGACTGAGGTAAGGAGGAATTTCTTCTTTCAAAGGGTTGAGAGTCTTTGGAGTTGTGGGGCAGAGTCCTTGTGTATATTTAAGGCCGAGATAAATAGATTCTTGCTCAGTAGGGGCATCAAGGGTTATAGAGAAAGGGCGGGAAAGTAGATGTGGGGATGTCAGATCAGCCATGATCCTATTGAAAAATGGAGCAGGCTTGAAGGGCTGAATGGCCTCCTCCTGCTCCTATTTCTTATGGTCTCATTATTTTTATGGTTTAATTGACTAATTCAAGGTCTTATTTGCAACTTAGAAGTTTTACCAAGTTCATTCAGTAAAATATGAAAAAAAATTGAATGTAGAAAAATATGAATCTGATCGCGAACTGTTGAATTTGCTGCAAAAATACCAACATCCAGGAATTTATGCAGCATATTCTCCAAAGCCTGTCCACCATCTACAAGGCACAAGTCAGGAGTGTGATGGAATACTCCCCAATTGCCTGGATGAGTGCAGCCCCAACAACACTGAAAAAGCTTGACACCATCCAGGACAAAGCAGCCCGCTTGAATGGCACTACACCCACAAACATTCACTTCCTCCAGCACCGATGCTCAGTAGCAGCAGTGTGTACCCTCTACAAGACGCACTACAGAAATTTGCCAAAGATCCTTAGACATCACCTTCCAAACCCACGACCATCTAATAGGACAAGGGTAGCAGATACATGAGAACACCACTTTCTGCAAGTTCCCCTCCAAGTCACTCACCATTCTGACTTGTAAATATATCACTGCTCTTGTCGCTCGATCAAAATCCTGGAATTCCTTCCCTAAGGGCATTGTGGGTCACCCAAGAACGCATGGACTGCAGCAGTTCAAAAGGCAGCTCAAGAAAGCACCTAGAGACGAGCAATAAATGCTGGCCAACCAATGACATTCACAGCCCACAAGTGAATTAAAAGTAAAGGGAGAGTGAAAGCAGTAAGGGGGAAGGGAGAGTGGAAAAGTGTAAGGGGGGCTGGGTCAATGGAGGCAGTGAGAATGGGTATAGTGTGAGCAGGAGAAGTGAGATTGGGTGAAGGATGAGTGGGGGCAGGAAGAATGGGGACAGAGAAAGTGGGGGCAGGGAGAGTGGGGGGCAGGGAGAGTGGGGCAGAGAGAATGGAGGGAGAAAGAGTTAGGG